TGACGATTTCGATGGGACGCAAACCCACAGCCATTTTCATAATTTGCAAAAAAAATCACAATTTTGAAATACTCAAGCGCGTCAGATTAAGATATATGTGGTTCATCTTTATGTTCTAAACGTACTGTCTCATAATCTGACGATTATCTAGAGGGATTCGCCTGATCTGACAAAAAATTTTTAGAAAAACGGTTCACCTAAAGGGCCATCCCTGCAACTTCCCGCTAATTCCATTCCTGGGCGCTTAAAATTGATATTTTGAGCTCGCTGAGTTCAAAGAAATAACATTTCTATGCATTTGAGCTCTCCCAGGTCGAAAGTCTGATAGAAGTTTCATAGAACACTATTTTTGGAATTTTCAAACCGCAATAACTTTTGAATGGATCAAGCAATTTTCACGCGGTTGGCGGCATTCGACGCAGTTTTATCATCCTCATAAGTAATTTTGCAATTTTAATTGATCGAACCACAAATTTCGGAGTAATCCCGAATAAACACTTTTTCGGGTTTCTTTCGTTCACGATATCTCTCGAACGAATCAACCGCTTTTGACCAGCTTAGTGGCGATCAACGTGGTTTTTCAAGCTCAAAGGTGGATTAGTTTTTGAAGTTGATCGATAAAGAAACCACTTTAAAAAAATATATTTCTTATTTTTTTAAGATTTTTCAAAATTTCTCAAAATCTATCGGTCCGAATCGGTTCAAATTCACAGGAAATGTAATTTTGAGGGAAATATTTAGAACGCCGTTTAGTAGATTCCGATCGGTTTAAGGAAATGTAGGCATCACGCAGCTGCACGCATTTAACTTTATCGACGAATTTTTGTTATTTCGGCTTGCGGAAATCGTCAGATTATATATTTTTCATTATTCTTGAATTATTTCCTTCAAAATAAAAAAAAATTAGCTACGCTCGAGAATGTCGAGATGACGTTTTTTTTACAACTTTGTTGCCCTCCCTTTTTTTCCGTCACTCTCAAATTGTCAGATTAGTGGAATATACACTTTTTAGGATGTAATTAACTCACCCTACCTTAGTCTGATGCGCTCGGGAATTTCTGATGGTCAATTTTTTTTTACTAATCTGATCCTGTCTCCTTCACAGGCGGCTTTATATATGGACCTCATGTTTTGTGGAGGTACTTAACCGAGTACAAGCTATCCCCCTGTATATTAATCTGCCGCGCTTTAGTAAATCCCGAAATCCCCTCTTGGGCTCCCCTACCATAAGATTCATATACAAATCGAAGCGCGAAAAGATCTATAACCGTTTGACAGGTGGAATTGTTGGTTTGCACTTAAATGTTGCTTTGAATCTAGCGTTGTTCACTACTGGTTCGGGATTTCATTTCGAAATTATTTATTGGGTAACATGCATGAGTAAAGATAATAAAACGAATTTATTATTTATTTTTATTTAAGCATAGATGCTATTAAAGATAATTAAATCTAATTCAATCGTAATATTACTTCATACCTATCTTTTATTGTAATTTTAAGTTTAATAAGTTCAGAATACATACATTTATATTATAAATACTCTGTGGACGCTTTCGATAAAATTGTCATTAATGTAAAGCAATCAATTCTGACGCAATAATAACGAAACATTTTCTTTAGCTTACTCGTGTATACGTATAAAGAACACGTCATAATAGATTTCATAAGGAAAAAACGTCAAAAAACACTACAATGTAGAGTTCACATCCGATAAATGTATGTAGAGTCTACATACATGTGAACCCGTCAAATTTAAACCACAGAATATATGATCGCACTACTAAAACCAATAACTTCCGGCTGTATATAATTTAAAATTCGAACACTATGCTATAATTGTTTCGTCAAGGATAGCCGGTAATAGATTAGGGGCGATCAGGCTATCAACGGATGCGATAGCGGTAATAGCGGTTTCTATCGAGGAGATATATTCCCTTATCGGTGCATGGGAATTATATGTATGTTGGTTACGATTACGACCTATTGTTTGTTTCAAGATTTTTGTTATTTATAGTTTATACTAAGTAGCACTAAGCGAGAACTTGTGTTAAATTAATCTTTACTTTAAAGCTTTTTGACGTAATTTTTTTTTATTTGATCAGTATGTTGGCCTAGTGGCTTCAGCATGCGACTCTCATACCTGAGGTCGAAAGTTCGATCCCCGGCTGTGCACCAGAATTTCTTTCTGTGTGCGCATTTAACATTTGCCCGAACGGTGAAGGAAAACATCGTGAGGCTGATCACTTACTTGCCTAATTTAAATACGATCATGAAACAGATTTAGAAATCTGCGGCCAAGACCTCAAGAGGTTGTAGCGCCACTGATTTATTTTAAATTTCATTCTAATAGTTACTGAATAAAAACTTGTATGATGATGATATTATTAAAGTGAGTTCTTAGTAGGAATGACATTAAATAACGAAGGCATTGCTAAAGATTTACAAGCAACAATAAAACATAACAAACATCGTAAACGCAGGTCATACGCATCAAGTGCACTATCAAAGCTGGTCGTATATCAAAAGCTCGTAGTTAAAGTTCAACGCACAAAGTGCATAATCGTAGTAATCGGCCGGAGCCAAATGTCATCGACCCACTTATCTCATCCGCCATCCCTTTTACAATTACAACAACAAATGAGTAAGAGCCATGCACCGATATGTGTGATACGTGGAGGAATAAAATCCTGTGTGAACGAACTCTAATCTGTTTCGTGGCAGCTTCCAGACCCGATTGATAGATAGTCAATGAATCACGACGATCTAATGATGCGTCTCGGTAAACATCGCTTTTGACATTTTGCGGATTTAATTAGTAACTCGAGAAATAAACTGGCCAGTCTATTGACGCACTATAGTCATCTTTTGTTTTTTTCGTATGATACGCGATAGATATTTGAAACAGAATGCTGTTATAGTTTTCGATTTTTAAATTTAGAATCTCGCGGTAAAGATTATATATGAATATGGGGCAGTAAGTAGCATTTCCTGCTTAAATGGCGGACTTTTAATGAATATTCACCATCCAAATCATAGACAACTTATGTAGTGAACCATATTTTTGGCCAATCCTGTTTTTAGTTAATACAATTATATTAAAGAAAGCGTCCAGAAAGCAATCCAGTTGAAACCATAAAAAGTGCTTCAACTCTCAAAGACGTACGTAGGCAGCATTCACACCTCTACACCTTCCACACATCGTAATTTCACGCTAGAAGCATTTTTAATTTTTAAGCAAGTTTAAGAAACAAGACACAGTAGACTCATCACCTACATTTTAAGGTGATTAAAGACTCAGAAGCTACCTGCCAAATACCCATTAAGAAGTTCCAGGACTTTTATGCCACAAATATGTTTTTAAGCTTTCCCGACAAACATGTTTTGTTTAACTTTAACGCGTTAAGTTAATTTGTTAAACCGAGCCGAAAGGATACAAAAGACGAAGTTTATCCTTCCTTTAAAATTCTATTCAGGGTGCGATCATAAATTTGAAATCAGGTAGAATCTATTGAAGCGACGTCAAAGCTAAACTGATCATCCCGTTTAAGGATGTGTTTCAAAGCTTTTCTGACGTAATGTTATAAACAATGACAGGACATATTCATATTCATTGTGATCATAAAAGCCAGGTAAACGCTACCTCACTTACAAGGAAAGATTCAGTTAATTGCCTTAACAGAATCCCTCTGTTTCGAGTGCCCGACACGTTTGTACCGTCAGCAAAAACTGTGACCGCTTTCCATCTTAAAACCAGATTTGTCGAATTGTTTTACCATAATTATTGTAATTTTGTGACTTATTAGCCGTTTATAAAATGTAGTTCATTTTCTCGCATTTGGTAATAAATAAATAAAAATAAAATTGTGTTTATTCATTATAATGTGCAAGATTTGGGAAGGAAAAAAAAACCTGTGTCAGGGTAAATACCATATATTTTTTTGGTATATACCTATCATGTTTCAAGCTACCTAAATGTACTTCTAGTTGCTTTTTAATATATTCGCAACTCGTCCTCATTTATTATAGATAATCCGATGAAATACTAATAGATTCATTTTATACTTTGTATTGACTTCTCTGAAACTAATATTCAAACATTCGAAGGGCAGACGCACACGTCATTTCATCGTTGTATTCAATCTGTATGCACTTTACTTAGAAATTGAACTGTCGAATAATAAGTGCATTGTGCGACCGTATACGTATCAGGGATTAGTGAGGGGAATACCAAATGTCGATAGTTTGCACTCATTACCACTTTTTCGTTACAGTTACACTCATTACCATGCTACGTGATTCGTCAATTCAATTGTAAAAAATAATAACAATATAATATAATAAATTTATTCATTGATATCTATTAAATGTAAATGGCTGCGGACATAACATGCTAATGTGTTACTATTTATATGCGGGCTAGAGCGTAATACGCTTATTGTCGCCCTGTCATTATAAGCTTCTATCTCGGGCGACTACTTAATCTGCCCAATAGAGCTGTGATATCTATTATCGGGGTCCTGATAGAGGTCATCGACTCATGTGAGCATCGGGCGGCGGCGGCGCGCGCCACGCACTTCCGACGCGACGGATTTGCCGGAATCGGCGCGGGCGCATCAAAAGAGGTTGCAAAATTCGGACGGAGGCGCGCGCGCGTGAATCCATTTGAATATTATTTTCCCCTGCCGGCATGGGAATGAATCAACGTGGGCGATTGCGCAAACAATGTCGAATAATGGGTAGCTTATTGTTGTAAATTTTTGCCAAAATCCCAAATATTTATAGCGCATAATCTGGTCGTACTGGGATTCTCCAGAGCATTATTAATTGGGCCTACCGCTTATGACAGTCGCAAGAAGTACGATTTAATTACGGAAAAATGTCGTTTCACAATTATAAAATATTTTTTTCGGTTGGATTCAGTGTATCTGAGATTCGGCGAGTCGGAGCCCACACGGGTTTTCTTACTACCGACATCTCACGTTTTTGAGTGGTCGTAATATTTAAATTGCCGACATAGCTCCCGCGGGCATACCTTGCATGGGAATGCGCGACGGCGGTCGTCCAAACCAGCTCTCACCGAATGCGTCGTGCGTTGTCCAAACGGCGCTAGCCCGTCCATCCCTGTCTAACTCGGAGCCAATGAACTGTCAAGACAAAGAGGCGTCGATGAAATGTAACTTTTGTTGGCTTACATGAGCGAACGCATCCCGCCTAAAATTTAGCATGGATGTGTTGCGCATGCGAAAATGTAGTCTGCGTCGGCGCAGGCCACGTCCGCGACATTACCTGATGATGCATATTAATTGAGGAGGAAGTTTTGTCAACAATATCTAATGTGCTCGGGTCACCGCGGCCCCATTGATTGATTTTTTGTTCCCGGTGCGTTCGAGTTCCTACATTATATCCATATAGTTCTCTAGACGCTCCTTTTAAATGTTGCATTATTGCATAATTTATGAGACACGTTGCGAAAACAATAAGTATGATTATTCAAAGTAGGTACTTTGTGATATCTGTTTCGTTCGCTTGTAATAAATAAACTAGGTTATTTTATATAATCTTCGTACTTCAGAGTTAATTGCAGATAATCATCGTCCGATTGAATAATCTATGGTTGATTATTGGACGGTTTATGTATTGAGTACATACTATCTTGAGTGTTTTGAGCAATGAACTTGTAAATCCGTATAGTTACTTATCAATTTCCTATAATGAAGTGGTAGTTTTAACAGCCATGACGAATCAATGAATTCCCATTTTACTTTGATATAAAAAGACTTTTGACTAATTTTAAACATGAAACTACGGCCGATTTTATTTTAATGTAATGAAAAGTATGTTTGCCGTAAATATATCAAAGTATTGGTACTGAAAAATATAGATTAAAATAATAACAGATAAGGTAAATAGCGTATCATTCCAGTTTAGAATTACGATAACACGATAATATGAAGGTAAAGCTGAGATTACCTTTTTGTTAGGGTTCCTTTGTCATTATTACTGAAATATTTATAATTTTTAACATATTTACGTTGTATTACTTAGAATACGGTATCATTCAGTATATTTCTTATCGTCGCGTTTTTTAGGCACGATTCTGCGTAATTGTAGGAATAATTTAAAAATCGAATTCGCGAAATACCTAATCGATAACACGTTCACACCTAGAATATTTTTTAAATAATAAGGAAAAAATCACAGTCGATAAGACACGTAGATTATACTCTGATAATAAACAGCCGATAAAGTCGTAATTGACCGTTATCAGATTAGCTACGGATTAATACACAGATTTCTTTTATCGTATCAATTGTCGGTATTACAGTACAGAGAGATTATAAGCTTAAAATGCGCTGTTTTAACGCGATTAGATTTTGTCTTCTGTTTTTTGTTTATCGCGCTTTAGTTACACTTCGTGTTCCAAATTTCATAAGATAATACTATATTATGTATATTCTACAATTATACCATAGAGTGGAGGAAGTTTTTGCTCCATCTGTTTCATTCTACGCCCTTAATTTAAGAACTAGTACTAAACATATTTTTTTATCGACGTTCATAAAATGTTTAGTATTTTTTTAAAGGTTTGTGTTCCAAAATTGCTCGTGATTCCTGCAAGATGTAGATTTTCTATAAAGCGCATTTGAAATGCATTTTAATATTACATTTTTACATGAGTAACTTAATATCTACAAACGAGATTTAGATATGTATCTTTAATGGCCTTAAAATTATAATATTTTATATATTATAATAATAGATATTTACTAGAATATATTATGCTTATTTATAATTACCGCGTAATATTAAAAAATGGTAGCGTTTAACAAATTAAAAGGGCATTAATGATACACAACAGTATCAGCCTAGAATACTAAAATTAGGACAGCTGTATGAGGGCAACATAAAAAATATCAATTCTTCTATACATTCATATAATAATTAAAGAAATATAGTATATTTTACACGTAAGTAGATAATACAGTGGTAGAGTGATGCAACAAGGAATATTCCTCAAGTTAGCGAAAGCCGAACAAATTGAGTTAGCACTTTCGTCCAACCATTTGTTTCCAATTTGGTGCGTTCAATATTCCCGTGTTTATCCCATCCGAAGATAGTGCAAATGACACTAATTATGTTTTTGTAGCGGGCCCGTGTTAATAGATTGCTCATACAAACCTCTCCGAACTGGTACAAACTGATTTTAGCGTCATCTGTATTTCGTAAGACAAATTTATTTACTTGGTCTTGCAAGACTAATTATTAAAATGGTTATTAAACTCGGTTATTAAACGGGAAAGAGAACCGACGTGACGGTATGCAAACTAATAAAGATAGATTTTAATTATTATAAAAATACTAGCGGACCCGGCAAACGTTGTTTTGCCAAATATATTATTTCTAGGAAACATTTTTTAGTTCAATAAAAATAACTATCTCCTATACTAAAAAATAGGGATTGATCTTAGAGAAGTGAAAATTTAGGGTTGTATGTATTTTTTATTGCCACATAATAAAAAAATAAAAATTTTATCCAAAAAATAAAAATATTTTTTTTGGGGTGGACACCCCCTATCACTTAGGGGTTTGAAATATAGATGGTAGCCGATTCTCGAACTTACTGATGGTGTATAAAAAATTTCATAAGATTCGGTCGAGCCGTTTCGGAGGAGTATCGGAACGAACATTGTGATACGAGAATTTTATATATATAGAGATTATTATCCAACATAATAACGGTTAAAAAAGGTTAGCACTAAGACACTACACGACATATGAAGCAGGGTGGGGGTACCACACATATAGACAAGCTATTAAATTATGTACTTACAAAAGTGTTTAAAATACCAGGAACCTTTTTGACCTTTGAGGTATACGCCATATGCTTTACATACTACGCCATGAATGAATCTAAAATAAATAAAATACCAAACAATAGAAAATATACAAAATTATTACAGTTAAATGTTAAAATGTATATGGTAATTAACAAATAAATGTAATTGAGAATAACATTTCTTTGCGATAAAACTATAGACCACAAACAATTATAGATAACAACCACTTCCGCAGTAAATATTTACTACATATAGAATGTGGGAATTAGGGAATTAATTAACATTGGTGTCAATTATAAATGAATAGAGGTATTGTTTGCTATTGATATGATAAAAGGGATTCTAGTGAGAAACATTTATACTGGGTGGCGCAAAAGTAAAGACCCTATTTGGTTCAGCTATAACATTTTTTCTAAATTAGAAAACTAGATTTAGGTTTTTTTAAATGTATATTTGTGCCATTAAATTTCGTACCATAAGGATTTAAAGATGATGTGTTTTAAATGGTGACCTCCAGAGTTGATGCACATTTGAGCCCTATTTATGACATTTTGCATAACTTGCCGTAATACTTGCTGCGATATGTTCCTTATCTCTTGATGAATGTTTTCTTTTAGAGCTGCGAGAGTCTGTGGCTTGTTCACATACACCCGAGATTTCAAAAAAACCCCAAAGAAAGAAGGCTGGACTCGTGAGATCGGGTGATCTTGCAGGAAATCGTCGACGAAATTCACGTTGTGTTTTTATCACTGATGAATTATTCCGTAAGAACATTGACACGATTATTCCACGTTCTTGTGGAGTACACAATTTTCAAAAATAAACAAATTTTCTTTAGTGGCATTACTTTTGCGCCACCCATTATGTTATTTAGACATATCCAAAAGCCTTTTAAAAATCTTAATCATATCGTATTGTCTGCATAATCGCTTTTGTTATTTGTGTACTTTTAAATTCAAATTTAAACATTGCATTGACTTTTTTTCATGCACCTTAAGAAAATTGTTATTTTAAATTTATTAATTGTCCTTAGTATTTGTTTTCCTAATAATGGTAGCCTTCTTAATAATTTCCCTGATTTGAATTTATTTGTAGTCTTTATACAACGAATTTAATAAATGAATAGTAGTTTGATGACAATACAATAAATTTTTGCACACACTGCACCCGAAGCTATAGCGGTTGGTGACTATAATATTAAGACATCCTGACAGCCGAAATGAAAGAAGTGTCATGCAGAAGTGCAAGACCTAGGTGTCAGAAAATTACTGAAAAATCACATCAACCTTCTAGAAATACTTGTCTTGCAGTCATATTTACCTATTATAAAAGAGCATAGCAATTCTTAAAGGCCGGCAACGCACTTGCGAACTTTCTGGCAATGAGTGAGTGTCCATGGGCGGTGGGGTATCACTTAAAATCAGGTCAACCTCCTGCCCGTTTGCTTCTTATTACATGTAAAAAATCCGTGTAAGCTTAATAAGCTACTTCTAACTATTAAGTACTTGTAGTTACAGCCATTATAATCGTTTCAGTGTACACTATTATCACAATTTTTTAGTTATTTTAACTGCAGCTTGAAGTTTTTGTGATGTTCTGTGTTTAAAATATTTTTTTTATCCAATAAAATAATCTCTTTCAAGCCAGTACCATTCTTGCTTTTGACTTTCTGATACGTATATAAACATCTCTAAGCACATAATATGTAGGAGATATCTTGTGAGTACGTTTCGATGCCTATCTTAAGACGCCAAATGAAAAGTAATTAATGAATAAATTACTTAGCGTATATAGAGCCTGTGTACTTATTCGCATTTCAACTGTAATTGTTAAGGTAGCTTATAGACTATAGTTTTAATCCTATTAATTAAATCAGCTTTAACAAATTCTTTATCACATTTCTTTTTAACAATACACAAGAATGATAAAGGTGATCCATAACTTTTACGAGTTTGTAGTATATGAATAAGAATATTAAATTATTGTTATATTTGATTTACTTCTATTATTATAATCTTATGAATTTCTTTCTACACGCAAATTAACACACACTACTACAAAAACATCGTAAGGAAACCAACATCTTAGCCCTAAACGACTTATGTGTCAGACATTCTGTATAATTCAATGAAACGGTAAAACTGTTTGTCTCATTCGCGTTTACACATTTGAATCGCTGCGATTGCGATGTGAATAAGGCCACTGTAAGCGTAGTACAACGGATGTTTGACAATCGTTACATAGTATGCCCTTGGAATATATAGGCCCAGATTGTACTGCGGCGTGCATAGAAAATGCACCTTCGGGAAATAACTGTTCTTGTGGGAAAAGTTTGTGTTGGTTCTGTGAAAGGGGACTGGAGAGGGGGTGAAAATTAAACTTTCATATGAATGAATACTCGTAGCCACGGCGGGTTTTCATTGGACCATTTGGTGATCATGTATCTTTGAATATAATTTTTGTTTGGCAGGGTAACGAACATAAGTTTTTACTCTGTGTTACGTAAGGCACGAAGGCGATACTATACATGAAATCGGTGTATATAATACGCTTTTAAGTATAAGATAGACACCAGTGAACGGAAAAAATAAAATATTAGACTATAACTTATTACGGTAAAATTTTATTTCGATTAATAAAATAAAATCATATCATATCTAAACCATCCTCTCCTAAAATCATAATTACAAGGTGTATGTTCAATTATGTGTTTGGGAATTTTGAAATATTTATTTATTAACACTTTCTTGCGTTACGTGTTTGGTACATATACATTCAGAGTACATAAATTAAGGCAAAGGCTATAAAAAAATAAATACAAGTGCAGAAAATGCATAACTAAATTTAAAAATCACATAACAATGTAAACTTATACAATTAAAAAGTAAACTAAAAGCTAATCTCATGAAATAAATATTTTATTATTTTTTTAATATATTTTTTTATCTATGCCTAATCTGTGCCACTGTCGGAAATGTCAACATAGGAAATTCAAGTACTCTGTTTATATAATTAGTATGATTTTTGTTATATCTTCAAGTTGAAAATGACTAAGACTACAATTCTTATATATTTAGTTGAGTTGTGGCTTAGGGTTATACAAAATTGATAAATTGAAATTTTGAATATTTTTATAATATTTAAAGGCTAAATTGTCAACGCTCAATGTGCCCTAGTTAAATTAATTTATACGTAAAAAATGGTATAATTTGTTGACATAAACGCGCTTATTACGAAACAAACCACTTTGATTAACATAACGAGTCTGTGGATGTCTTAAGAAAAAAATCACATAAAATCATTATCTTAAACCATTAAAATAATCACGGGGTCAACAACGACCTCGATATTTCTTACTAAATAAACCATTCATAAATATAAATCCAAAGATACACAGTCCTCACAGTATGGAAGCCACGGCTCTCAGTAACATAACTTCGATGTGTGCGAATAAGATGAATTTATTTATTCTATTACTCGATAATTCATTACTATATGACTTTAATAAATAGCCGATATATGTATATATATATATCTATTAATTATTAATAGTTCATGACATATTCTCTCTCTCTTCAGTCGGTCTCATGTCATGGCTGAGCATGGTGGTCATCAAGTAATATTTTTTTTACTAAGACATCATGGCACATTACTATCTAGCCTAATTTACGCCTAATAAGTAATTTAAGTTTTACCTAATTTACTAAAAAGGATATTAAACATAAGAAAGTGTCCCATAACACTACTCACATCTCTACCAAAGGGAAGACAGTCTGTTCTTGAGTTCTGTCAAGGAATATGACATAAAAATCCCATTAAAATCACAAATCGTAATATTTGTAAAAATAGCCATTGTTCCTGTCTTGCTTGAGTATATGCGTTACAAACGAATTCAATACAAATTTATTAGTATGGATTATACTTTTAATACCATTACTATTTCGCTTAAGTAAACAGCAGATCCATTTTTTTCTTCACAACCGAGTGTATCCAATTAATGCGGCTAATTTGTTATCCCTTATCTTACTCCTATGTCTTGCTCTGCGTATTTCGCATATCATCATTAAATGTTGATACTATTATATAACATATTTTTTATGTCTTCACTAGCCGTTTATTAAGGTTTCGCAGTGTTTTATCTCGTAATATATTTACTTATATGATAAAGAGAGGAGGGTTGTAGGGGGGTTTACTGAACTGAATTTGAAAATTACTTTATCAATAGAAAGCCACGTTATTTGGTAGTGTAATATTAACCAGGAAAATTAAAATACCTTTTGAGTTCTAGAGAAAAGTTGTAGAGTTACAACTTTTCTCTGGAACTCAAAAATATAGAATGATTCATGAGGAAGGTTTAGTTTTACCGTTTACGGGTCGTGGTTGCTTGTGTGATACTGGAGCGGTTCGCCTGCTAAAGATAAAAATATATCCCCTTAAAAAAGTAATCGGTCTAATTGCACCATAATTAATATGTCTCCTTTTATTACATACAATTTAAAAGAAAGGGACTTATTCATTTTTATGAATAAGGAAGGGGATTGACGTTAAGACGTTAAAAATACCGGGTTGATTTAAATAAACAAATGAAAGATTGGAATAACAAGTGAAAATACACGCATTTATGAAATTTAATGGCCGAAAAGAAAACTTGGCTTAAAGATCTCGTTTCTAGTCATTAAATTAAAAAAAAACTAAGTTTAAGTAATATACTTAAACTTATTTTTTTTTTAATTACCTACGTTTAATTACGTAGGAACTATTCCTTTGACCCAAACTTCGTGTGTGTCAGGGCAAAACAGCGCATGACTCGTTGACAGCTGTAGAATTAAAAGATAAACTCGCATCTTACACAAATAGAAGATATTTCTAAACGTTATCTCGAACAAATAAGTGGGGCATAAATAATCGTGGCTCACAGCGATAGACAAAACGCGTAATGCCATGGTAAATGTTACTATCGTGTTTTGGTGCTTGTTTGTATGTCACCATTACGCAGCTACCCTGACTAGATAAGCTCGATGTGATCTGTTGGCATAACTCAGATTTAGAACATAAAGTCATTCTAAACATTTGTAATATGAAGTATGGAATTTCTAACACCCGGGTAAATAATAGCATAGCGATTTAAAGTTCTTTTATCATTTTTGAAAAATTAATAGCAGACGGGAAGTACTCCCCATGTCGTAAATGTTGAGATTATATATATTTACTATAATCATCACATTTTGGTTTGATAGAATTACAGTACTAGCTTCTGTTTGCTGCGCGTAGATTTCGTGTATTTCGGCAAGTTTTTTACGACCTCTAAAATCATATCATTTATTTCAAATAGGTTTATTAAAAGGAAATTTTGTAAGTCATAATTATAAGTTTAAAATATTAAAAAAAAGACTAGTTGCCACTTCCAAAAGATAGTTTAATATGGAGAAGAATGGTCAAGAAACTCCATACTCTTTTGAAATAGTTTTTACAATATTTTGTATACATTGATTTGATAATTATATGTGAAGACCATGTAGTTAGAACAAAAAAACCGTAATAGTAAGTGTTATACTCCAGTCACTTTACTCAGGAATCAGACTATCCATTGGTGAATCCTTACTTGGACTTTAGGTTATAATGTCTAAGTAAAGAATTAATTATTTTAATGCCTATGAATTCGTAATATTTGAATTTAAAACGTAGTCTTTTTTTCTATATGGATTGAGCTTTAGTATGAAAGCATATTTATTTAACCACATTAGTACCACCAAAACAGCCTGTATTAATTGCCAAATCAGTTTCGTCATGAAAATATAGGAAAAATTAACAAGCGTTTACTGCCACAGTAGCATAACAAATACAGTAATTTAAACATAATTGAGATAAGTTAGTAAATAGAGAACCGTGTATTATTCCTAATGATCTTTACGTGACATTCGGAGATTATGCCGACTGACAGCACTTGAGCTCTGTTTGCACAAGAAACTCGTGTTTAATTACGTATTAATAGTTTTTGTATGAATTATTACGCAATTGCGCAATACACGCTTAAGAGAAAAGTCAAAAGAGTTATAATTAAAAATTCCGTTCTTTTTTCTAAATAAAATCTCGCTGTTGGCCTTAAAGGCCTTTACAGCTCAGCTTGGGCTGTTTTGGCGAGCGTAGCTCGTCTAGAAGGTTGTTTTTCCTGTGACTAGCGCAAGGGCGTCTCCTGTGAGCGATGTTGAAGGGCTGTCGCAACATCCTAGTGGCGGTGGGCAGGCCACATAGTGCGCGTGGACAAGAACCGATGGACTCGCGGGCTCCTTGAAATGATACCTCGGCAGAACAGAAGACCGCGCGACCTCCCACCGAATAAGTGGACTAACGACATTGTCAAGGAGGTTGGCTGGGTGCAGATAGGCCAGTGCAGGGTGTACTCGAGGATAATGAAGGAGGCCTATGTTTAGAAATGGACCAAAAAATTTAGCTGATTTTAACGATGATGAACACTAGTTATATTAATATAGGTACTTGGTTGAGAAATGAACGCGATCACGCATACAAATCTAATGATGTTGAACCCATTTCACATCTACATACAAGCCATATACTTAGGTATATACTATGTATAATTAGTGGCTCCCACGCCATATATTTAAAACAAATATTTAATCAAACCATATTATCGCTCATATTAATTGAGCGATATCGTTGTTATTTTTCTTACAAATATGACGTATCAAATGAAGACTATTATTACTTTTAACGCCATTCCGTGAGCGAATTAACACTATTATATACTTTTGACGCCGGTTAAAGGTTTTTTCAAGTTATATTTTACCAATATATGTTGATAAAAAAATCAATATTGCCTACTAGAATTATATTACTAACACAATCTCTTTGTTCATTAAACAATACCAGTAAGAGTCAAATGAGTATTTACTGCAGACATAGTACGTCGGATTATTTTTTAATTAATTAAGACAGTATAAAAATACTCTGGTCTTTATATAATTCGATGTTAAATTTGTATCGTAATAAATTTTTAATATTCAACTTGCAAAAAGTTGTAATATTGTTATAATTGTATTTCAGTAAAGTTATCTTAATGTTATGGAAGAGATGGGAAACCCATTTTTTACCTAAAAGGGTCGCGAAATATAACAATTGTAATGCAATTTTTTTGTAAAAGTTCATTTCAATTTACTGTACTAAACTAAACCTTATACAATTTAAAGTATGATTACTTCTTTACTACTAGTACAATCTGTTCAACATAATTTTTTAACCTAAATTATATACAATATCATTTGTATAATTTTCATGAAATATTCCATTCATTACTTTGATCCCGCCAGGTATTTACATAACGGTTGTGATTCGCACTAGGCCTTTTGTGCTAAGTGTTTCATTGCTAACAACATGATTGTCATGTTTCTATGACGATCTATTAGCAACTTATATCTGACGTTATGATAAATACGTCAGAGCGTTCGTCATGATGATTTGTAAAACGAATTTGATTTTTTTTGATATTTTTATTTGATTTCATTTCATTTTGACTTTTTTTTATTTATTTGAACTTTAAAGTACCTTCTTTAAAGTTAAACCTTCTTTTAACTTTATGTATATAAGGCGTTATGATCAACGAGATAGACACTTCGAGACGGGACTCCACATCTTTCTGTTATACGTATTAAAACGTTCTCAATTATTATAGAAAAACTAGCTGTCCCCGCGAAATTTGTTTCTCCTTAATGCCTAGCCTACCTTTTTAGTACATAACAACATAGAACATTTTGCTATGCTACCCCAGAGACTGTTCTGTTTTTCGGAATGAAAACTTTTTAGGTTTTTCTGTGATTTTTCTTTATATAAACCTCAGAGTTCAAGTTATAAGTTCTTAACTAACAAATATAAAAATAGGGGTAGATCGTGAAGGGTATATGAAAATTAAGGGTTGTATGTATTTTTGTATGTCGTATCATAAAAAAAATAAAAACAAAAAATGTTTTCTAAAAAATTAAAAATAAATTTTTGGCGTGGATCACTTAGGGGTTCGAAAAATAAATAGTAGCCGATTCTCAGACTTACTGAATATGCATAAAAATTTCATTAGAAACGGTCGAGCCGTTTCGGAGGAGTATGGGAACGAACATTGTGACATGAGAATTTTATATATATAGAGATAGCGCCCCAAAATATTCCATAATCGAACCAATTAGTTACATCGAAACATCTAGCGAATTGCGAATAAATTTTAAGTTCGGCGAACGTATCCATTGTAATTGTGGTGGTAGCCGTGATTGCAAGAGTTAACACATAATACATTACAGTTTGTGTCACAACACAATCAGGCTGAGAGGACGAATCAGGCGCCGAGGAGCGTAATCTAGGTTAACAGGGGTCAAACGGCATCACAAATTCCAATACGATATTAGACAGATCTGTGGCGCGAATCGACTCTATGTGTGTCTATGGCACTTATTGGCTTCCTTATTGTACCACTTGTTGCTTTTAAAAATGGAACAATATTTCTGAGAAAACACAGCAAATTTTTCTCACAGCACTCGTGCACAAGAGGATCTCTATGATTGTGATTTAGAAGAAAAAATGTTTTGTTGTTAATTTTAAAAATGAAATAATTTGTAATGATTCTCATTTATTGGAATAGTTTTAAACACAACGTATTTTTTTCCCCTTAAAGGGCAACTATTTTTTAGCTTAAGCTCCAGGTGTAGAATAAAAATCCATGGGGGTCTTATAATTATTTTACAAATAAGGAAATGGTCGTTAGATAGTTTAAGCTAATGGTTACCTTTTAAAGAGGGTCACATTACGGTTTATAAAAACACTAGGAACATTGACTTGCTATTGTAACAAATACTGAATTACGTATTTAAAAAAAATATTCTATTTTTTTTAATAGACTGGTAATTGTAGTCAAAGACCTAATGTTATGTTTTTTTCGATCGCGCAACTATGGGGCATGGGACCAATATTGTTATATATAGAGAAACAAAGCCATGAACTTTAAGGCATGTGCTAAAGGCGAATGAAGATTTAAAACTTAATAATATATTACCAAAAATATTACTAATTTAAAACTAAATTATTGTACAATAATCAGGAAACATAATAAATTATGTTTCGAATAAAACCATAAAGCTATATAGGCCGATTTGGCAACGGCGGCTTATCTCAATTGAGATAGGCTATGAACAATTAGTGTTCTGCGATGTGACTTTACTATTACCTAATCCACAGGAAATTGATTCAAGCAATGATCTGTTTATCTACGTTCTAAATACTTGTTCGGTTCAAACTGCCAAGACGCACTTGATACGTCTTTATTAAAATCTTTTTATCTGATAGTCTGTTTAACCTCATTAAAGCGCAGATTCGCGTGGAGCCTCAATCATTGATTGAGCGTAATCAGTGCCGGCTCATCAACGATGTGCTGACGCAATATCGTCCAATTTATACGTCTAAAGTGGTACGACTTTTCATAGTTTGTATGTTGGCATGTGATTCCCTTGACATTGCGTCTACTGCTTCATTGATCATAAAAATGTTATAAAGTTGTTGATGGTTTATTTTGAAATCTGATTATGTATTTGATATGTATTAAATGTCAAATTATTTTTTATTTCGTGTGTGTTCATCGTTGCCTTTTAATAGCAAGCTATACTTTCGTAACAAAATTTTATGTTAGCAAAAACAAAAGCTAGTTTCTTTTGTTTTTAACTCAAAATAAGGCTTTGAGTACAGTACAGTACAGTAGTATATAAATATTTTACATTTTCTATCTATAATTATTCTTTGAATATAATAGTAGTTTCATCTTACAGAGCCTATCATCAGAATTACGTCGTAGTAAGAGTCCACCACGTCGCTCCCCTGAAGAGCGCGCGGTTCCACGTCCGCCGTCTACGCCTGCGCATGAGCGAGCCTCGCATGCGCCGCATCTCTCGCCTAAGAAGGAGGTCTTCAATAACCTGCTTAATAAGGGAGTCACTGGTGAGCTTTTATGTTTTTGACAGATAAATATAATTTCCATAAATATTGTATAGAACACGAATACTTTTAGAACGATGTTTGCTTTCGTTTTGTTATATGACCAATCTCTTCATCTCTTCCAAAAAAAATATTTTTATAATTCTAAATATAGCGGCTCTTGTTTCAGTGACCCTACTATCCCAATAAACATGCACTATATATGAACATAAATTTATGACACACAAATATTTACAGTATTCTTAACCTATCTAGTAATAGTAAAAGTTTTATCCCTGTGGCAGTGTACCTTTAACACTGGCCAGTATTTCCTCGCTGTGTTGCGATACTTATTCTTTGAGCGAGGAAAGCCCTTACCTCTGGGGTCACCGGTACTATCTACGAGGCGCCAATTTTAATCTTTAATTAGCGCCTGTGCACTTGAACCGCACGGCCCAAGAGTCTCTACTACAAAGGGCACAAAATCAAATTTGGAAAAACAATTATTCTGGTCCGGACTATAAAAGTATTCCTAAATTCACGTACTTTTTTATATTTTATTTTAGCCCTATTTGGAAATTACATAAGTAATTAAAATATATATAAATCAAAACAGTAAGACTCTTATTTATCTAGGTGAATTGAACAAAAAACGATAATCTCCGTGTACCGACGAATGCACCGTTTATTCGCCGTCACGCGCCGACCCCTTCCTTTGTTCGGCTTCATCTCTGCGTTAATCTTGCCTATAATTGATTTACTGATATCTTTCATATCTTACACGTCAATTTTTAAATTAAAATCGATATTCTTAAGTACGATAAACGTATCAAACAACATTCCGATTTAGGGACTTTATTAAACAATGAAAATACGCTGAAGTTATATAAGCTTGTAGGTTTTTAGACATAGACATAACATTTATTTCTAACATAAAGACACATTCAAAGAAAATAATTATAAAATATAATGAGAGTAATTTTTTCCCCTTTTCCCTTTCGCTTCGTTCCAAGTGTGTAATGCGTGTGTGCTATGGTTGTTATTGGCCCTGGCTCAGCACTTAGCTGAGGAGTAGACGGTTCCACTGCGCTGGTCATTCTGCCAGAGACCACAGCAGCTTTTAATATAATTCGTCCATGTATTGACAACGTATTAAGCAAAAACTACCAGAACTAGCATTAATGTCATAGATATGTATTTGGGATAACGATTAGTCACGGGAGCGTACCTAGTCCGTGAACTTCAAAACGACATGAATTCCATTCAAACGTTTTTAATTCTCCACGTTGATTCCCTCCGTAATAATTTCCATTCATTCTCCACTCTTTATGAATCATAATCTCTAAATCTCCCATCTTTTATCCTTGTCTTTATAAAGTAAATCTGTCTAGCTCTATCCCTTTCAAGTTCTTTTACCCCTTAAATCTAATCCGGGACATCCCGTCTGGCCGTAAGGCGCACAAAGCTTAAGCCGGTGTACACACGGCACACACACACTCACATTGTGCAACACAAAACACTCAAGCTTATAATAAAGAGTATCAAGTATTATAGTTAAAAACTTATCAGCGTTACGATTCTATAATAAATTCCGTGTCAAAGAATCTAGATACGCTGTTTCAAGCTGAGAAAACTTGTTGCATACAAAAGATATGATATTTTCCCATAAAATTCCATTCGGGATCGCTAGTGAACATGCAAAGTTTTTCTACGCACAAGATATTCACGAGATAAACATAATTTCATTTCTACTTATCGTTACAAAGAGCGCTAAGCTCCGCTCGTCCGATTAGCTTTAAGTATCACCTGTCATATTATACATGCAAATTTCTGTCTTAAATAAAGGGATTAAGGCTCGATACATCGGATGATAGATAAGAATAATATACTCGTAGAAATAACATACATCACGTGGCCCGCCAAAGACACGGTGGCGAGTTAATACCTAATGCCCCTAATCGGTTCATATAAATCATTATTAATTTCAAGTCGCCTGCGTCGATCCGCGCCGATTAGCGATTGCACAATACCCCACGGATTATAGTGACGTTGGAGATATATCTTTTTGTCAATTCATACCTGGGTACCGTCAGAATATTCATTAACTCTTTACTTGTTTTATGAGATACTATGAAGTAACATGTTTTGTATTGCTATAGGTTTTATGAAATAATCTCGAAAAGTTAAAGGGTCTTGAAAAACTAGTGCCAATTTGATAGTATTGCTTACTTAGGGTATAGAATTTCTACTATCAGAATATAATATCAATAATTTTTTAGATTTTATCATGTTATTCGTGAATAGGTAAAAATATTTTTACCTTAGTTGTTTATTTGTCAAACACTTACAGTTTAAGTAATTTGCTGACGCTTCATAAGCCTGTCGTATATAGATAAGCCGATTTCTTTTTTATACTAAGATATTTTTTATTTGAATAAGGTAAGAAATCTGCAGTTTAAAGTATTAAAATTTTGACATTTAAAATAAGCACGTTACGATTCAAATAGATAAGAAATTAAAATATGAAAATTATACAAAGTCATTCATATTTCCCAATACGTATATCATAATTATCATATTTTGTTAATAGTGTTATTCGTTTTTGTTCTGATACGACAACTAGATTAATCAAAATAAAAAATATTACTTTAGTACATAAATATTAATTGTGACTCAATTAACGTTTGGATTAGCTTTTACATTTTTGTTTGTTTATTATTATTTATATTTTTTCTTTACATTCTACTTTTAGTTATAGTTACATGTATTTTGAGTTTTTTTTGTTAATTAATTATGCACTTCTTTTACTTTACCCGCAGTAGATGTTTCTTTTTTTATTGTTAGGGTTGCCTGGAAGAAATCGTTTTTTTTTTTTTTAATATGTATGATTTTGTATATTATGGTAACGAAGTGTAAATAAATAAATATACATAGGAGTGGCAATAACGTTTGATTTCACTCGAATCGACTTTTAATAATTAAATTAATAACAGATTCATTGATTATCCCTCTTGGCGTTCGCGGCCTTACCGAGTGGTAGGGAAAAATATTTTTCCGGGTAATGCATACACACCACTATAGTTACCAATTAAACAACGTGCTCAATTCCAAGTTTCAGCAGGGTAGCTCTCTAAAACCGACACCGCTTAACTGAGGTGTCGATTTCCATAATTATGTCATCTAACGACGAAACCCAAGAAAATATTATCCATAGCAGCGATTTATCTTAGAATTACGTGTTAATTCAAAATTGAAATCGGTTTCGGGAACAATCGGGATAAGTCTGAAATCACCAGTTAAATTTTTTATTTTGCATAATTGTGGTGACATAATATATAAAGATTCGCATTTAAATAGAAAACAGATAGCTGAGTATTACATTACGATTAATGATAGTTGATAAGAACTTTGATATTTTTAATTGGATTGGAATTAGTATTTTATTTAAATTAAAAATGCTAATGCGGATGAATAATTATTATAAGATATTATGGTATTTATCCAATGTTAATTTTGAAACAATTCAAATTTACTATATATTTATTTTATTTATTTATACCTGGTAGATAGTACCGGTGACCACAGAGCTGGGACCACTTTCCTGGCTCAAAGAATAAGTCTCGCAATACAGCGAGGAAATGCTGCCAGCGTTAAAGGTACACTGCCACAGGGTCCAAACTTTTTAAATTTGTTTTGATTTTCTTCTTTCTTCTTTAATTATTTTTATTATTACTTTATAGGTTAAGAAAATTGTAAATACTGTATTTTTAATTATTACTTTGTATAACATATTATTATAAGATTAGTAATTCTAGAAGTATGTAATACGTTCCTTTGACCAAGGAATTATTAAGCTTTTAGTGTTATTTGTAGCAAAACGAATTTAGTGAAAAATTAAAATAGTATATAGTAAAACCGTACCGGCCAGCTAAGAATATTTGAAATCGTTCCATATTTGAGTTTAGTCGATACAAAAATTATACCCGATTTATGACCCTAATATTAAGTTTAAGAAAATGCATTAAATTCCCGACAAAGTAAAGTACTTATTAGCTTTACTTAATATCACTATACTAGACTCATAGAAAATTGTCAGTCATAGGGGAGTGTGGGGTCTGTTTTATCTCCGGGCGACACGAGGCTGATCCGTTCCGGATGATCCGGATAATCGTCCCGTTCCACTGTGCGGCTCTATCGATCTATATTACGACTAATACTCAGTTTTAAGCTAAATATTATACAGTAATGCAAATTCTAATTAGAAGAAAGAATGAAAGAAGAAGTTTAAATATGAATTTGGTTTTATACTTTTGAAAGTATATAACGATATAACGAACTGACGATCGTATTTTTATGTATTTAATGTAGTTAGTCAATGAATTATTGTAATATGTTGGAGATACAATTCCATGAACCGTATTAGTAATGATGTTGCTGTTTTTTAATGAACTAGTAAACCTCTTTATAGTTTCATTCGTAATGCAAACAAAGTATTAACCTATCTATACAAGAAACATATACATATACATCCGCAGCTTCGTATATCTTGCCTATCTTCCAATGAGTGCGTAAAAGAAATCCGAAAAAAGAATAATGAAGCATTTAATCCAAAACTGGTGCTAAGACTAAAGAATTTAAATCGTGAAATACAATTTGAAATTTCTAGAACATTTTTCGTATGCGAAAATCCATAATATTCTCGACCTCACTGGGATAAAATCCAGATCCGACGGTCGAGTAATCCGGCTTAGTCCTGATCCGTACGTCTACGTATACGTGTGTGTGCGTATACGTGTTGACATGAGATCTGTGTAGGGTTGCCACTGGTCCGCGGGATTTGAAATTATGACCGAGTCCTTGAGTTAATACTCTGAGATCTCAACAATAAATGAATAACGCTAAGTTTTAAGTTTTCACTTAATAAATCTGTAACAGTTCTGATAAAGACTCACTACAGCCACAAGCCGAAAAATGTGAATTATAATAAATTTATATTTAATATTAGCATATTACCAACATTAGAAATAAATGGGTTTCATATTTT